TATCCACCGGGAGAGGATTACGTCTGAGAGAGAGAGAGTAATTTGGGAGACAATCCCGGTTTTCTTCTCAACCAGACAAACCGGGATTACTGAGGTGCGTACGTGGGCACGTGGGCACTCGGGTAGGGATCACTACCAGTCACCACGGTCACCATGGTAGGCACGTGCGTGCGTGCATTATGCGTGTGTGTCTGTCCGTGCCTCCATCCAGAATAGGGATGAAAGTAGAGAAAGAGAGAGAGGGAGTTTTGCGAGATAGGCTGATTGTGACCAGTGTCACAGACGGGGCATAATCGGTTTGGTCATGGCCACAAAGGGCAATACTTAAACACAAGCAGGAGAGAATTTGTGCACCATTGAGGCGGCGTGCTTTCTAAGATGGATCCCAGTGACGGGGGTTAGACGACAGGCTGAGACAAGTGGTGAGAGCGAAAACGCGAGAGCGGGGAGTGTGTGTGTGCGCTCGCCTGTGTTTTGTCAGACGCGAGGAAGACCGCGACCACACACACAGGAAAACGAATGAACACCAACTAGCTGCGACTCGAAAATGGAGACAAGTTGGACTCAATCGTTGACAAGCGGATACTGGTATACATGAAAATTACAAACACATCGTTGCACTTAATTCAGATGACAATAGTTTTGATTCACTCATACCTCGGAACGAGATTAGCTCATGGATAATTTCGATTTGGGAAGTCTTAGTCTATTTGCAAATATATCGGACCCAGTAGTAGTAGTGGTAGTGGTGGTATTAGTAGTAGTTATCACACGTCATATGTCGATGTAAGGATTTTCGTTTAACGGACACTTGCCGGCGATGGCCCTTAGTAGGTCTTTATGCAAAGAGAGATAACTACGAAGGTGCTTGCTGTTACATCACGTGTAGACCACGTGAAGCGATTAAATTGGCGCCTTGCGATTGATTTAGTACAATCATCTCATCCTATCTGTGATATTCCAGATCTGATCCCTACCGGAGTCGAAGAATTCCCATTGTCGAATACCTATCTGCGTGGGAAAAAAACACGACGCTGTTCAAAATTACAACTTATATAAAACATATCACATGGCGCATCGATTTTTCGCTACACTCCGAACGTCGTTCGGATCTGACACTATAACTAATAATTTAACCGTTTGTGACTGTTTTTTGTGCACTTTATTGTGATACACAATAGTGGAAGTTTTTCTGAGGTACCGCTCACATTTGTGAGTAGTTTGTACGATTTATGTCCAGGACGATTTCGCTGCAGCTCAACATGTTGCATACTGCATAGAAACGACGGTCGAAACTACAAGACCCCGTCCTCAGCCATTGCTCGACATCTGCTGATGACACAATACCAGATCGACCGAAGCAAAGTATGTTGGATTGTCTACAAGTCACGAGTTGCAAGATTGCTAAGATTTGGTGAAGCGATTGCTATTAATCAATGGAGACCCCCCTCCCTGTGTCAGTAAAAAGAACTTTATGTTAGTTTAATTATGTTAGTTTAAACCCTACCGTGGCAATATGGACCTTTTACCACTCCCTCTTTTATGTATTATTATTATTATCTGTTTTAATATATTTTGCTCTAATTTGTTACCGTGCCCGATTTAAACACCGTATTTTCTGCAGCATGCACCATGCTGAGATGCAGTGAAATCGTCCTGGACATAAATCGTGCACAATGGCAATATGGCCTTTTCATTTGAACTTACAGAATAGACAGGCTGGCGACCACCTATGGACAGCCGATTTTGAAAATACTAACCATTACTAACCAGCTCTCTTCATGCCGGCACTGGTCTTTTGAACCTATTACATAAACAAAAAGACGGTGTTTTAAGAACTGGCAATCTAAACGCCTCAGAAGTTGCAAAAGTTGATTATACATGCATTTTCATTCGAATGAGATTAGTTTCTTTCCACAATTGTTTTTCGATTTCAAGCAATCACTATGTTGGGAATTTTTCGTACGATACGTTTAACACCAGTGGGTTTCAAATGCAATTTTTCGTCCTTGATGTTTCAGCAAAATACACCCGCATGCATATTGCCCGTTTCAACCCCAACCCAACCAAACCCATCCTTGATTGATCCCTGTTGGGCACTCGAATTAGGCAGATTTCCATTTTTCATGGAGAAAGTTCCCCCATTGATGAAAGACCCAGACCGGTACAGTTCGCCAGTTT